TGAGTATCCTCTTGATTCAGTTACTAAGGTAAAGACAGAAAACTTTGGTTTTAGAATCGAACTTTCAAACGAGTGATTTTTTTCAAAACAAGAATTGTGTAATGTTTTGTAGGTGGCTCATCTTGCAAAAGCTTGCACACATAAAAACCCACAACAAAGGCCAAGCATGAGATTAGTTGTAGTGGCACTAACAACATTATCATCTTCAACTGTGGATTCGGGCAATGGCTCCATCTAAGAAAACTGTCGATTTTTTCCGTCTATTATTCGGTTAATAGACATGTATAAGAAGATAATGCCATTGTTGTATAAACACGACCTATTTTGACGTATATAAAATCGATTCATGTAGTATGTGAAGATTCAGCAAACTTAGAAAAATATATATATAAAAAAAATAGCGAGCTCTTTTGATCTTCGTGTTTTATGAATTAGAGGTAGATTACGAGTGTTCTCTTGATCTCTTGACTTGATTGAAATCTCTATCGCTCCTCAGGTTGGACTCTTTGAAAGCGGATCTTTTATATATACATGTTATTTTAACTAGCTATCATGTCAATTTTTTTTTTAGCTATCATGTCAATTTTTTTTTTTTCACTTTCCAGCTAAAAGATTTGAAAATAATAAATAACTTCGTGGTGAGACTAATCCCATAATATAGTCGTCAAATACTTGGTATGGTAATTCAATGTCAATCTGATTTTTTTTATTAAAAACGTTTTGAATAAAAGAGGAAGCTTTTTGACAAAAAAGAATAAAAAAGGTCAACAATTGCTAATTGATAAATATTTGACTACACCACCAATCTCACGGTAAGGCAGGTGCGGTTCCACGTAAATGAAGCGCACCATAACAAGGAAAATCGAGATGAAGCTCAAGTGATGTTTCATCACAAAACCAATTGATTGATGAGAGGAGTAGCTCACTAGGCTTATAAGTTAGGTCTATTTTCCCTGTATAAATAATGTGAGATACCATGTAAAAATTCGAGGTAAAATTGGTGCGGGAATACCATGTAAGAATTAGGGGTAAAACGAGTGCAGTTCTACGCAGGAGCACAACATAACGGTGATAGCCCAGATGAAGCCCACGTGAGATTCTATCCAAAACAAATTGGTCGAGGGAAGAATAGCTCACTAAACTTATAAATTAGGCATATTTTTCCTGTATAACTAGATAACTCACAAGTAATATTATACTAAGTGTGACTAACAATGACAAAATGTTGGGAAACTTTTTAAATATCAGCTATATTATTGATCTTCCT